TCACCCCGCTTGTTCCTCCATTTCAGGCAAATGACTGGGGGGTGTCATTGTTGGGGCCTGGGTGTGACTGACCCCCTGCACAGAGGGTTTTTAAGAGTGCCCTCAACCTTACAAGGAGAACCCGAGAGCCTTTTGTTACAGCCGTAATGGAGACCTAATGCTGTCAGCTGAGTTTCTAATAGCACCGGGAATTAATTAATCAAGATTAAAAAAACTGTGTTTTCACCAGATTTCCCCATTTCTTTAAAAATATTTGCGAGTTCTCTTCTATTTCCCCTTCTCCACTAGGAGATTTAAACAAGTTAAAAGAATCTAATCATTCATAGATATATTTATTTCAAATTATAGCATCCACAGCGTATTGCATTTATGATGTCAGAGCTCAGTTTGGTCATTCTCTGGCTATTTCTTTGCTAAGGTGTACGTCTTTGATACTAGTTGAGACCATGGGAGTGGCACTGGCAAGAGCGGCTCAGTGGACTGCTGCTGGTTCTGGAACTGGCACACTCGAAATCACCCCTTTGAACGAATCTCTTTTAAATCAAATTATTAAGTTTGTGGAGGACTTCAGCGCTAGACATCCTCGGGAAGCAGCATTTGTCTTCAGAGAGCCCCTTGAGTGGAAAACGCGATTGGGCTGTTCAGTATTTGAAGAGGGTTATGAGATCAAGTAAGTCTGAATTGCAGTGTGTTTGGAAGCAAAACTGTGCTCATTTAGCATAAAGAAAACCTTTGGGAGGCTGAAATGGGTGGGGCTCTTTCTAATATATATTGAAGATTTTGAATTAATATTTGTAGGTATTTTTGAGAGTTTGAGACTATTCTATCTCGGCGATCATACAGACCTGTTTAGTTAGTGATTTATACAACTTGCACTGTGTAAGACGTTTTACAACGTGTGTCTAACAGTGATTAACCCTGTGTTTTCTGTTAGTGTTAGGAGTGGCTCCTGTGTGGTGAGTTGACCTGGTTGGATGCCAGATGCCCACCAACCCACTCTATCACTCCCCTCCTCAGCAGAACAGTGGGAGAAAAATACAACAAAAGGCTCTTGGGTCAATAGAAGGACAGGGAGATCACTCACCTGTTACTGTCACAGGCAAAACAGACTTGACTCAGGGAAATTAGTTTTTCTTGACAACCAAAAGTCAGAGTAGGATAATGAGAAATAAACCCAAATCTTAAAACACCTTCCGCCCACCCTTTCCTTCTTCCCAGGCTCAACTTCACTCCCAATTTTCTCTACCTCCTCCTGCACACCAGTGCAGGGGGACAGGGAATGGGGGTTGTGGTCAGTTCGTCACATGTCTCTGCTGCTCCTTCCTCCTCAGGGGAGGACTCCTCACACTCTTCCCGTGCTCCAGCGTGGGGTCCCTCCAACAGCAGACAGTCCTCCATGAACTTCTCCAACGTGGGTCCTTCCCACGGGCTACAGTTCTTCACGAACTGCTGCAATGTGGGTCCCTCCCACGGGGTGCAGCCCTTCAGGAGCAGACTGCTCCAGCGTGGGTCCCCCACAGGGTCACAAGCCCTGCCAGCAAACCTGCTCCAGCCTGGGCTCCTCTCTCCATGGGTCCACGGGTCCTGCCAGGAGCCTGCTCCAGCACGGGCTTCCCACGGGGTCACAGCCTCCTTTGGGCACCACCCCCTCCTGCGGCGGGGTCCTCCATGGGCTGCAGGTGGATCTCTGCTCCACCGTGGGCCTCCATGGGTGCGGGGGCACAGCTGCCTCACCAGGGGCTGCACCAGGGGTGCAGGGGAATCTCTGCTGCAGTGCCTGGAGCACCTCCTGCCCTCCTGCTTCACTATCTTGGTGTCTGCAGAGTTATTCCTCTCACATATGCTCACTCCAATCTCTGGCTGCAGTTGTGCCCATTCCCCCCCCCCCTTTCTTAAATATGTTATCCCAGAGGTGCTGCCACTGTCGCTGATGGGCTCGGCCTTGGCCAGTGGTGGATCTGTCCTGGAGCCGGCTAGCATTGGCTCTGTCGGACATGGGGAAAGCTTCTGGCAGCTTCTCACAGAAGCCATCCCTGTATCCCCCAACTACCAAAACCTTGCCATGCAAACGCAATACACTCCTGATTAAGCATAGATGTTTTACTGCTGTTATTGAGGAGGATTAACAAGCACAGTCTTGCATTACAGCTTCTTTGTGAACAGCGGTCTCCAAATTCTAAGTAGGCAGTTTTGATATATTAACATGGTTTCAGTCTTAATCAAAATAGCAGTTATACTGCTGTAGCTTACTTATCAAATATTCTAACAGTTCTTTCAGCATTTGAAAATTAGTGCTGAAAAAAATAAGGATAATCGAGAGGTTTATGCTTCTTTTTTAATTGAGTGCTGACTGATTTTGCATTGATACCTAACACTTATACAACAGTAACTCGGTTTAATTTTTGTGATTCTTTGAACAATGACATAGCAAGGTGCCATGGATGTGCAAAATTATTTTTCTTGGCTAAATCACAAAGCTACTGGAGAATTTTCAGAGTTTTCCTTGATAAGTTGTCAAATTCAGGTTCTGTTTAGGTATCGCTGTAGAAATACCCTAATTCTGAGAAAACATTTTATTCCCTTCCACCACAAAGTTCTTTCCAAACAGAAATATACATTTATATAATTTTAAGTCAGTTGTCATTTATGAACCTAATAGTCAGAAAATCACTCAGCAGACTTGTAGAAGGAACATGCAGAATACGAGTGAATATTTTGTGAGGCCAAAGAGCAGGTGTGACCAGTCCTGTAAGAATATTTTTTCACAGTTCAGCCTGTCAAAAGTCTATTTAAAGATGTTGCCAAGGTAAAGCAAATGATTTACAGATGTCTGATTTGCAGTGAATAAATTGGTTTGCCTCGGAAGTTTTCTGAAATACAGTTTAAAGAAATTGTATATGCTTTATCATGTGAAGCTTGAATAACATTCAAGATTCTTCTCTAAAATTTGCTGTTTATTAAAGTTCTTATTTTAAAAATATATCATTTATTTTTTCTAGTGAAGCAACTGTTCAGTCTGAAGCCAAAGGTAAAGATGGCCAACCATTGCTTCTCCTCACGGCATCAACTCTCAGAGTTCGCAGTTTTGACCAGCTGTCCTGTTTGCTACAAATTGCTATGGAAGAAAAGTTAAAGGAAGCACAGGCATGCCTTGAAGGTTTCCTTTCTTCTTTTTTTTCATCTTTCCTCTCTCTTAAGAAGTATGTCTTCTCCTTCAGTTCATGTTTATGAAATGTGAAGAAAGGCATGCCTTCATTTTAAGTATGTAAGAAGGTGGTGATTCATGAATGTGGCTAAAGGTGCTGATCCAGAACTTAGTGAAGTTTCTATTTCTTCTTTATTTTCACAGAAATCAATAACAGAGAAATCTGGAATAAAGTTAAAATAAAACTCTGGAATCTCATATACAAATTCATGTATACTGAGTAATACCGCAGCTATTGCAACAGAGAGTAGGTTTCAATTTCTGAAAAAGAATGTCTTATCTGAGGCTAATAGCAGTTTTTCCTGTGTTAGTAGTTTAATCCTCTTTTAAAATGTGACATCCTTAAAAAATAGCCAAAGAAAAACTTACATGCTTAAGGCATTCTTACCTGCACAAGGTTCACAGTGAGCACTTCCAGCTCATTCTCACAATGTTTTTTAAAATACAGGTATAAGTACTTTTAGTGTGTCATATTCAAGTCCTAAATTTTCAAACTGATAAGAAGACCTCGTCATATGCTAAGCTGGATATCCTCCTCTCATTGGAGGTAGAAGAGATCAATAATATTCTTTGGTAATATTAGTAAAAATTGCATCTGCAGTACTAAAATACAAATGCTCATACTGGCTAAAACTTCATCTAATGTAGCGTCCTGTCACTTACAGTGATTAACCATGAATAATAGGGAAGAATAACATGGACAGGGTGTCATGCAGAGGCGTTCACAGATGCATGGGACTTCATTTGCAGGAACAGTGACGTGTTTTTGTAAAACCCGTTGACATGCAGCTATGTCACTGTTTACCAAAAAGAACAGCTGGCACAGCTGAGGAAGTAATGGGGCCATTGGGAATGCTCCTAGAAAGCTTTAAAGATGTTCTTTAACATTAAATCATATTTCCAAAGCGATCAATTTTCAGTGAGTTAAACCCATTGATTTCCTGTTTTGGTGATCAGACAGGCATATTTTCTGGAAAGAGGGCTGTTGATAAAGGGAACTATTTAATATTCACCTCTTGGTCAAGTGAATCTTAATCTTTGTTGTGAAAAGCAGTTTTGTTATGAAAAATTTTTTTCTTCTTAAAGTTTTCGTACTTCTAAAAGTGCATTTCAGATTACAAGAGGGATATAAAAAATACATCATACAGTAATATTTGATGAATAACTGTGCACATTATTAGAGTTCTTATTGTAAATTAATAGCATCAAAATTCTTCAGCAATTGAGATAAAAAGTGTTTGTCTTGCCTAATCATTTTTAACATAGTATCACATTATATGATTTTGTTTACAGCTAACAGAGATCCTATAGTGAAAATTCTTGGCCCTGAGTATGGGACTGTTGAAGGAGAAGATATGTTCATGTTGAATTTACTTGACAAAGTGAAAAAAGATGATGACCCTGAAACAGAGATGAAAATGAAAATCTTTCTTCTTCTTCATCAGCTGGATTTACAACTGCTTAATAATTCTTTGAAACACATTTCACAGTAAGTACATTTCAAATGGAAGCTAAGCATGTCAACCAGTGCATTTTTTTTGTTTTGTTGTTAAATCAGATTGGTTTCAACCCACAACATGTGCTTTTGGTGTGACATAAAGAAATCTATTGAAATAACTTTCACTATTCACTCAGCTATTGAAAAAACATTTTTTTCCTGAAGATTTTGCTGTAGGTGTGGGTATGCAAGTGTGTGCCCATGAGTGTGGTTTTTTTTGTTGCATATGTTTTGTGTTTGGTAGCAAATTGAAGTCATTTGTACAAACAACTAAGTTATGGTTAAATATTTTCAAGGAAATGTTTACTTCTTCATGGAAGCGTATTAAGTATTATATTGAGTCTGTTTCGTAGTTACAAGGACTTCATATTAGCTATGGAACTAAAATTTCACGAAACTAACAGATAAAATTAAGAAAAACAATGGGAGATGACCCATTTCCAGATTTTTGTTGCTACTATTAAGACTCAATATAAAAGAAAAAAATCATGTAATATTATCTTCTAATTTCTCTGAGTACATCCTTTTGATGAATACATTTTAGACCATTTTCTATTCGTTGCAGAGACGTAAGACTAAATCCAGCTGCTATAAATAATGAAGTGAATCTTCTCAAGAATTTCTCTGGGAAAGGAGAAGATACAGTACTGGAATCACTGGAATATACATCAGGTTCAAATCTGATCATATTTCACGTTTCTATATACCTTTATTAAAGTACTTGACTCCTGTGTGAAATTCAATAAGTTAATTTCAGTAATAAAATGTTTATTTCTACTTTAAAGTTATAAAGTAAAATAGAAAGTATTTTCAGATATGGCATGCTGTTCTTCAGCCTTTAGTTATAGAAATAATCTCCAATCATACAAATTTCTTCAGTGGAGGTAGAGGAAGTGAACTGAGTCCCTGATCCTGAAATGTGATAAGCACAGTTGCACTTCTTAGTTGTATTGGGCCATGGATCACAGAGCTTTGCATGATTAATTCCTAATGGTGTGAATTCTTAAGAGTAAGGTATTGGTTTTGGAATTTTATTTGTATACATGTTATATTTATCAACAAGCATAACTAATAAAAATACTTTTAAACTGGATAAAAACGCTGATGCTAATTGGTTACAGATTACACATTCTCTAATGGATGCCGAGCTCCACCCTGGAGACAAGTGCATGGAGAAATTTGTTACTTAGTCATCAAACCACATGACACTGATCCTTTGTATGTCACTTGCAGCACAGCAGGAGTTTTTTTAAATGGAGTAAGTAGTAATAAAGGATGCCGTGAATATTTTTATGTGCTAAAATCAATAATCCATCAGGTTTAGGGTACTGGTGTTGAGGCTGTAAGACCTGCAGAGTTAGTTTATCAGTACAGAAGGAGAAGACACAGTAATAAATGTATGCTAGTTTTCCCATATGATTTGAGTGCTTTTTCTGTAAGTTTTATACTAGGAGTGTATTCTGCACTTCATGCTAGCAGTGTTTGTTTAGTCTTTAAATGTGCCCTAACAGTCCTTCACGCTATTCTATTTAAAGGTTTTGTGGGACTAGATTCCTCTCTAGTGCCTCATTGCTCTTGATCTGAGGTGTAATATCATTGTGTGGCTAATATAGCTTGCTTTTGTCTTTTTATAAATGCTAAGCAGTTCTTCCTCCTTTCAGTGGAAGCTTTTTAATAATTATTTATCTCTTTTCTTCTATTTTTCATTTTAGTTACCTCTTTCCTTACAGATTTTATTTAGACATAATAGTCCTTTATGTGTTTTAAGCAGTGACCAGAGCTCTTACATGCATTTTGAAGAGAGACTGACGTCTGTCAGGTGTAACTCCACAAATTGATTTTGTAAGAGTTAAAAAATCCAGGGAAATTTTGGCTTAGCATGTTTGTAATGGATGAAGCTCATAAAGCTCAGGTTCATTCAGGTAACATTATTTTCTGATCCTTTTACACATCTGCTATACTGCACCGGAAGCTCGTATTTACTTAGTTGTTTGCTGTGAGCCATAAATTCTTGTCAGTGGAACTACTCACAGTACAATTAACTGATACTAATTACTTGCAGAATTCTGGGTAAGATCTTTGTTATCTGTTGGGATCCATGGAGATGATCCATGCATCTTTACAAAGCATTATTGAAAATTGATGGACTCTGTGCTGAGCATGAGACTTCTGTACATAATTCATTAGAGTATGACCTCTTTAGCAGTATTTTATGATGCAGATTAAATTACCCATGTGAGGCAATACTATTAATTTTACATTTATTCTTTTTTTAAGGGTGAGCTAAAGGGTAAAGATGACATTGACTATGAAAGAAAAAGTGATGTATATAAAGATATTGTCACCTTTTTAAGGGAGAGATCACCTAGATTTGTAGAAAGTATGTCTAAACAGGTATGTATTTACTGATACTGTGTGTATGTTCTACTTTGTACAAACGTACATTGTACTTTAGTAAGAATTACATTATTACATTATAATTATAATTACATTATAAACTGAAGAACTTTTATGTTCTTTATCAAAGATAAATCTGCGATTAAATGAAGAATTTTAAAGACTCTGAAATGCATTTATTATTTTTCTTTGGATTTGTTTCAGTTTGTACTAAATATGTTCCTTTCCTAAATAGCAAATAATACACTATTTCACGTCTCATTCTATCATACCTTATTATGAGGTTTGATCCAATATGTGAGGTCAGCTTCTAATTTTGCATAAAAAGTTTTGTTCAACTTCTGGTGTCATTCTTTATGGAGCACTGGAAATGTTAAGCAGGAAAATATGATATCCTTACGGAAAAGGTCAACTTTTTATGACAATATTTCTCTGTGATCAAAACCACTTAAATTTTTATCTTCATTCTTTGTAACCCAAATATAAATATTAGCCCAACATTTTTACGAGAACTGTCTGATTTAAATATCAGAGCTGAGACTTAAGCATCCAGCTTACACACTATGTGTTGCTTCAGCCACTGTAAAATGCAAGCGTTTTGGCTTTTATTTAGAGCTCTATATTAGCTAGAATTACATAGTGCCACTACAGTTTTAGTTGTTTCACCACTCCTGATAAAAACTCTTTTTTCAGATTTCTAGTGTGGTTAAAACAGATTAATACCTTGGTGGTAAAATTCATTACAGGCTAAAACCTGTTCAAAAGTTTTATTGTGGTTATTTATATGCAATTTTAATTATTGCAAGAAGGAAGTCATTAACAGGGAAACTTTCTTATCCTTTAGTTCTGATTTTCTGGGATGTAGGGCTGATATATATTTTCTTTGAGGTATAGATATTTGACAGTTCTGAAAGAGCAGAGCATTTCAAGTTGTACACATAAATACAGTAGCTTATATTAACAGTAATGGAATTAAATTTGTAAGTTGTTCTGTTTGAAAGTGCAGTAAGTTCCAAAATGTGTTTTATTTATCCCATAAGCAAGTGTTTTTTTAATGTTCTATCTACATATGGGTTTACATTTCATAAATGTGACAATATATGAATGTTTTTAGACATAATTACTGGTTTAATGTATTTTCAAAGTGATTTGGCTTCATTTCATGGTCATGAAAGGTAAAAAATGGTAATATTTTAATAATTTTTTACAGTTCTAATCCTAAATGTTAATGTAGATTATGTTAACATCAATAATAGAGATAATATACCTTTCCTTACTGGTTTTCTGCTCTTGTAAACATACTGTAGCTATTCCAGAAATGTGTACACTTATTTCATAAAAGTAAATAAATAGAATTTATCCTATTTTCCTTCATTTGTCATATAAATCACTTAGTATTCCCTGACTGTGTAAATAAGTTTATGCTGAAGAGTATAAATTATACCGTTTTAATGGTTTAGGAATATTATATCATATTGCCTTGCTGAAGAGCTGGTTTAGTACATTCTGCAGTCTAAAACTAGACTTTAAACAAGTTAATACTGTAAAGCTGCAGAGCATTTGTATGTGAGGGAAAATCTTCTCTACTCTAGAACTCTGAAAAGCAGAGAAAAGCTGTATTTCCAAGGTTGCCTACATGAAATAAATTATAACTGGAAATAGTTTTGATTTATTTTCTGAGGAGAGGAGAGCTTCAGAAAGCTCATTATGTACACATATATTGCAAACCCAATTAACTGTTATAATATCTTCTTGGCCTTGTTTAAGCTAACATTTAGAATTGCTGTGTTGGCATATAGGGCTGTAGGAAACATACTTTTTAACATGTGCTTAGCTGGTCAAGCTATAGGATCAATTCCCCTGTGATTTGTCTAGTTTATCATGTGTTAAATTGTCTTGTCTAGAGTACATTTTCAGAATGAGAGAATTAGCATGAGTTAGTTTATGGTTAGACAGTTGGGTCAGCAAGCCTGGAGCAGCCGATTCACATCAGGGACTCGTCAAAAACAGACTATACTGTGACAGTCTCCTTAAAACTGCCTTGAATCAGATATGTAAAGGAATGTCTTCACCTATCTGGTAGTGACAGCTGCAATAATAATAGTAAGTAATGATCATATGCTGTCTTTCCTGTAAAAATTGAATATGTTCCAATAGAGAATAAGAGTTGACAAGAGTCCTTTCTGTCCTGGATATTTTTGATCAGCCATGGTACTAGACACAGACAGCTGAAGGATTGGTAGGTGCCACTCATCTCCATTCTTGTGTGTGAGTTGTTCAACAAAGTTTTGTCCTGAGAGACAGAAGATGAAAATACTGAAATGGAATGTGTTTATATTAATTCTAAACTATATCAAATTAAATTACTTGGAACTGAAGTCTAGCAGTTTATCGTAGCCTATTTTCAGTTTTAGGGTTTTGGGGTTTTTTTGTGGGAATTTTTTGTAAATCCTTTATGCAGGGAAATAGTTTTTATATGAATGATCCATTGAACACAGAATGACTGACTTTGCAATTCTAGATCTTAAAACTCATTTGGAATTAGGTTGTACAAAAGTGCTTGTGTCACAAATTATTTAACATATTAGAAATTGAACAACACCCAACATTCAAGTATGTTCAGGAAGTTCCAAATTGAGCTAGTTCATTTATTTCAAAAACTTTAATTTGTATACAGGAACAGCTACTTTCCAGATTAATGTTTCATTCTTTTAAAGGCAATCTGATTTTATCCTTATAATCTAATTCTACATTTAATACATAGAATTTTTAAGCACAGCATTCTGGAATGGTGCTTATAACTTATTGTTTTAATATGCATTATTCATATAGCAATATGACTGACAAACCATGTCTCCTCCTTTTACTAGGAATATATTTTTTTTAAAGAACCAACATATGAGAAGAATTATCAGCATATGGAGGTAGTTGATCCTAAGGTCTCTGGCCAATCCCAGAACCTTTATGATTTTACAGAAAAGAATGTATGTGAGAAAGCGAAAAGTTCTGCAACAAGAAGGAGATCCATTGACAAGAAGAAATTAGAACCATCTATGAAGTGGAAGAATACTGGGCTTTCTGCTTCCCACAGATAAGTAGTTATCTTTATAATTGCATTTTCCTATAGATCTCTCTAAACTATGCTAATGACTGAGCTGCATGTTATAGGTTTGCATTATTATCTTAAGTTAGGAGCAATAAAACAAAATTTGGTACATGTTAATTTCTAAGAAGAGGGTATGGACTACCAAGGAGATTTCTCAGTTTTCTTCTGTCATGCAACAACTTTGATGATGCTATGTCATTTCCACAGCAAGGCAGAGAAATATCTTGCAACCATCTGCAGTACTGGTCCTCCAGGACTGTGATATTATCATATTTTTGGTGTAAAATGCCCTTTAAAGGAAGACAGAGTAGATGATTTAATCTAAACCACACTTTCTGAGGGAGGCAAAAGAGATCCAGGATGAAAAATCAGGATGACTCTGACTTATACTAACAATTTTTAATTATTTCATGTTATATGAGCCACTTTTCTAGCTCTGCTTAGCAACAGTCTTCACTAATGAGATTTTCTCAAAGTTTGGATACCCAAAAATAGAGTATACATATGTTGGATATTGTTGGATTTGTCTTCTGAAATCAGAGCTCCATTCTGATTTCATGTTTCCTGATTTTGTGTTAATGGAGGAAGAATAATATCTGAAGGAAAGGCTTTGATTGCCATCCTACAAAAAAAAAGTCAGTATCTTCTCAAGTCTGCCAATTTGACATGTTGCAAGAAACATTTTAAGGGATTTTAGTTGTGACCTACAGTCATCAGTTAAAAAAATGTGGTTTTCCAGAGACAAGAGCTTGTCTTTTTCCACAGTCATTGTTAGAGAGATGTAGTGAAATTGGCTGTAATTATGAGTAGCATTCTCTTTTATTGTGACTGTGATAGTATGACCAGCCCAGGCTCAAAAGGACATTCTGTTTTCACAACACTGTAAATTAGGGACAAAAAAGTACCAGAGATTGTGCCCAACTAGGCCTAGAAGTCTTCTTGGAATATGAGGAAAGCAAGATATATTGTATTCAGCATGATCAAAGCTATGGAACAGCTCAGTGTGTGGAAGAACTAGGCAGACCAGAACTCTTCTGCCTGGAAAAAAGTTGACTGGGGGACAGTAAGACAGATACAAAAAATCATGACTGGAGATGGTAAATAGGGAACAGGTAGTCACTGGCTGTTCTAATACAAGAATAAAGGGCATCAAATGAAAATGAGCCAGTGAGACCAGTTCAGAATGAAGGGAGAGACTTCTTCATACAACACATGGCTAAGTTCTAAAATTCTTTGCGACAGGATGGTAGAGGCCATTGTTTATGTGAGTTCAAAAAGCAACCAGACACATGAATGGAAGAAAAATCCATCCAAAGCTGCTAATGCAAGGATGATCAGGAGTTCCGTGAATCACAGTTTGCTGAAGAATATTCTGGAAGAAATAATTTCCATGTTCTTCCATTGTTCTTCTGCTGTTACCTAGATAGCTGCTGTTGGTCATGGTTCGAGATGGTATCCTGGGATAAATGGACCTGTGGTCTATCTGCATATACTCATTCTTTGTTCTTGTATCACAGACAGGTCAGGATAATATAATTTTTCTAATATTCCACTATATTATTAAAGCAAAATTAGTCACTTAAGACACAGCATACTTTCTGTTTAATGAAGTTTATTGTGTAGATTCGTAAGCTCCTATGTACTGACATAGTATGTGTCCGACCATAGCTTTTTGCTTCTATGTATATATATAATTTTTTTTTTTTAATAAAACCAAATATTTTAGTGACAAGGCTGCAAAAAAAGGTACTGAAGAAGAAGGGAGAAGTAGTACTGTGTCTCTGCAAATAAAAAAGAAAGCCAGTGGCATGTCTTCTGAATCTGTTAAAATACAACCAGCTTCAAAATGGTATGGGTTACTTAATTTTCTTCCTTCAGTTTTTTAATTTTTATTTTCCATATCTACAGTAATTATCACCATACTTAGTATTTGGCAATGTCAATTATATTTTTCTAATTCTGTTATTAGGCAGTGTTTTCATACCTGTTTAAAATGTATTTGTTCGTATTAGTTTAGAGCTGTTTAAAATAGGTGATACTGTTTATTTACTTTTAGTAAAACATCAGGCAGGTTTGAAGACATTAGTGAAAGTTCCTCAGAGACTGAGGAAGATGAAGAACAGCCTGTACGCCATCAGGAAGGAAACACCGATTTGCCATCAGAATACTGGGGAATTCAGAAACTTGCAAAATACTTAAAGGTAAATAAGAAGCGTTGATAAATTTTATAAAAAATAAAGCTACGCTTTACCGGCTACATCTGAGGATACCAGACCAGCTCCTCGTCCCTTCCACCTTCCATATGTTTTAGAATAGCCTTGCTATGTAGTATGTTCAGATTGTGGAACTGTGGACTTTCCTATCATGCACCCATTTCTCCTGCATTTTATTTATCTGCTATTTTTGGCTTATATAGACCCTTAGATTAAACCATCTGTTCAGTGTTATTTAAAAGTTAAGATGGTATAATTTCTTTATTAATTATTGGGTTTCTGTTTTGCTTTTTGGGTGAAACTTTCCAAGATATTTCTTTATGTGGATAGTAACTTGCAGGAGTTTTTATTAAAACTGAATAGTTGCCTGAAGTCTTTCATCAACTATGATTAATGCATGACTGAAGTAATTCTAACGTGGTCTTGTGTCTGGATAGATGCTGTTAGTGGACAAGAAAATGTATGATAAACAGGCATCCTCTAAAACAAAAAAAAAGGGGTTTTACGCAGACTTGTTGAAAATCTTTTGGAACCAATAAATATAGATGTTTAGAATTCTGCGTATGTCTGAAACCTGTGAAAAAACCAACAACCCTCTACTATTCTGGAAAACTCTAAAACTAATTATGTTTCTCCCTCAGGAGAAATTCCTTTACAAGTTTGTACTGGAATTTATGTACTGCAAGTTGCTAATAAAAGCGCTGGTTTATTTGTTTTTTTTGACTACAGCGACAGAGTATACACATCCGACTGATAAAATGATGGTGCTGGCATTTGGTACAGCAGAAATACTTGTGATAATAATAAGCAAAGCTTCGGCTCCTTCCAGTCCTTTAAGCACTGTAGAAGAATAACTTAGTCTTTTAAACAGTTTTCAGTGCACTCACACTGCTTGTTCTCAGTTTGTGTATATGGGACCTATGCTAGTGGTTGTAGCCAGAGAGACACAGAAAAGCATGGATAATGCAAGTCTTTCTACAGTTCTCTTTGCCTTATATTTTCTAGGTTGGACCTCTATATTCTTGTCATTTTGGCTATGCTAAAGTAACCCTTTGCAAGTGTAACCTGGTGTAACATTCAGCATGTAACTTGCTCAGCTATTCGCTAATGCTAAACACACTGTATATACATTTTGCATCATACAGTTGTTTCTATTTGCATATAATTACAGTTCAACATGTTGTTTTCAGATCTTTCAATCTACTAATAGCTTGCTTCTGTCTGTCTTATGGACCACCACTTTGTGCTTTTCTGAGAGCTCAGAGAAATAACCATGCTACTTTTTGGTAAAGACCCAAGGTCCTCCTGGAGAGGATACTTGAAATTCATTAGTCTTGATGAACTCCCTGAAATCTTTTCATTGGCCCACCTATGGACCACCCTCTTCACTGACAAGGCTCTTCTCTCCTGGTTGTGTAATTCTCAAACTCCCTTTCCTCTCTAGATCCTTCATGTAGTCATGTTTAGATTTCAGTATTGGACTTGATTGAATACTGAAACATATCTACACTTGCATGAAACCATTCTGAATGAAGAGTGAGAATGGCAAATAGGAAAATATATTTTTCATGCTCCTCTGTTTTAGAAATGAGTGTATTTTGTTCCAGCTATCAACAAGCAAAATTACTTAGTGGCCTAGAACTAGAAAAAGAAAGGGGAGCATTTCTGATCAAATTGTGAGTACCTGTTAAGAAGTGTTTATAATATAAAATTCTATCATATGAAGAAGTTTTGTTATGAAAACTCAAATGTATACTTGTTTATGTATTCATGCACACCCGAGTCTTCCAATAGTTCTTTAAATTAGATACAAATTAAAGAAAGTACTTGAAGATATACTTAAAATACTTCTCTGTTGATTCTTAGCTACGTAAAGCAAGAAATCCCTAGTGTCAGATAAAGCTGAAAAGAGATGCTTCAGTGCCATACCACAGACAGTGGTTGAAATTTTTATTGATGGAGTGCTACTTTAGCTTGCACATGGAATTCATTTTAATTCAAGTATAAATACTGCACTTCTGGCCAGACTTAGGAGATTTTTTGGCATTCTTGTTGTTCATGTAGGCAAGTGTTCATGACACATGCAACATAAGAGAAAATAAATTTATGACTGCAATATTTAAGTATCTACAAGTATATTTATATGGAAGCACAAATTTCAGAGGACTTGTGTGTCTTCAAAGGTTGTATACATTGTTTGCACATCTTAAAAAATTTAATAAAATGCCTTAAATAATAGATGTTTGAGATACCAAGTTAGAAAATATAATAATTTGTAGATGCAACCATTTTTTTAATCTGTTAAAGTAAATGTGAATCACAGTTCAGCAAGACTCTATGAAAGATCAATTTGCAAACACAAAACTTCCATAAAACCTGAAAGATACCTAGTTTTTATACCAATGTTAGATTGTCATTAAAACTTAAAAAGATGGTTGCTTCCTGTATAAAGCAAAGTTGCCAGATCCCGTGAATTGTGCCTGTAGACTATGTGTATACCTCTGGAGAGAAAAATTCCAGTGCAGGGGAAATTCCCTTCTGACTTTTTGCCCTTCTCCATTCCCCCTCCTTTCTGGAAAAGAGCAGCCATGTTGGAATTGCTCCACTGGGAAGCAGCTGCTTCTGTGGTCTGGCTCCTTGTCCTACCTTCAAGCTTCCCAGGGCTGTGAAACAGAAGATAGAGCATGTGTGCTCTTGCCATGTCTCCCCATCAACTTAAGAACGGGCAGGGAAGATAGATCAGTGAGCTCGGTGGTGGCGTTGTGTTAGGCATCTTTTGGGGCTACAGTAGATAAAATTGGAATGAAGTGATCTGCTGATGTTTTTAACAGTGAGATTCACTCAGGAGAGCCTGCTTCAGATTTCACATTATTTATTAAAGTAGTGCTTCTGAAGTATTAGATTTGTAGGGCAAGGACTACATTTTACACGTGAAAACTTTTAGGAATAGAGTGAAGGGGTCACATTGTACAGTGGTCTTTTTACTAGAAATGGCGAACATCAGGTAGAAATGCAGTATCTTCTTTGCAGCAGAACTGAGGCTGTTCACTGAAAAAAAAAAAGGAAAAAAAAAAAAGGTGATAGCTGAGCACAATGCTTTGTGCTGCCTGCTGTTGAACACTGATTATTGCCAGTTTTAAGATAAAACTGAGATGTTGAGAGGTGAATTGGGGCTGGTGACTGCGCCAGGAATAACTCCAGTCTCTAGAGTAAGTCTTTAATCTCTTAAGCTCTTGTGCTGCTTGGTTTTGGTTCCCTGTAAGGGTGTGATTTATATGTACAGCTATGCCAGGGTGAGCGCTGAATAGAGTTCTGCAGGACCATGTCAGTTACAGAATTCTTCCTTCAGTTTCCTACCTAGAAAGTCATTCTACTTTTGGCTATATTTCAGGGGTACACTAGTGAAATCAGTCAAGTCTCACACCGCGTGTAAAATACCCACTAATTTCATATCTGCTTTGAATTGCTCCAGTTCAAAAACTCATTCCCAGAAAAGCATTGTGTTTCTTTGTCCACCTATGATTCCAAAGTAGAAAACCTGCTGTCTCTCCCCAGCTGTTTGCATCTTGTGCCAGGTCCAGGAGCTGGAGAAAAGCTATGGTGCTGCACAGGAGCTAGGGAGGATGTGCCCCGAGTATGGCTTTGAACACCAGCTCCCAGGTGCTCCATGCGTGCTGGTGCTGCATTGCGGTGGATGTCTGGGAAGGGAAGACATCTGTCACACGACTCAGTGAAATCTCATTCACTGGACAAGGAAAAGGGTGCACTGGGTGTATTCAGGTCTGGTCCACAGCTGCATTTTGGCAGGACCTTTGGATGACTGTTGCGTTCAAGCAACATTTCTGTAGCTGGCAGGAGGCCCCTCTCTATTTGGTGTACATTACATAAAGATAGCAAACAGACCACAGAGGCAGGAATGTACCAGAATATTCATTCTGGTCTTTCCCTTGTCTTTCTGTCCACCTCCCTCTGAATGTCCTCACTTATTTCTAGGGAATTGGGTCAAGGAAATGAAAGTCTTAGGAGATCAAAGCTATGAGTCCAGTTCTTACAGTGCACATGTTGCAGTGAGTATTGGCTGGACAAGACCTACTGTCCATCACTTCTGCTTCCCCTTTGCAGTGCAAGCAGAGCTGAGCCAGGAGGATGTAGTGTGGCCGCTGCACCGCAGGCAGAGTTTATTTCCTCTTCTCAGGAAGCTCAAATTTATCAGTTAGGGAAATGCAGCTGTGTGTTGGCTTGCAGGAAGGAATGGTGGATCCCCAGCTGAGCTCTTTGTACATGGAGGGCACCAGCATTCTTGGGGAAGAAAGGTACAGGTTAGAAATGCAGAAAGTCAAAGAGTGAAAAAATGCAGGGAGGCTCTGCCAGGAGCTAATAAGATGCAGGATCTGAAATGACAGGTTCATGTAGATATTATTGATAAACAGTATGGGATAGTTTTATTCCCCAGGAAAAGACAGGGAGACATCTGGAGGTTGGAATTTAGGGACTTGGGGCAAACCAGGGTGCAGGAAAACCATGTATGCATGAAAGGTAGGAATGTGGATGAGGAAGGTCCAAACCATTGCAGACACAGGAAGCCTGTTTTAGAACATTTGAGAACCAGATCTTAAATGGCAGTTGTTGTGTGTGGGAGGAGTTCTTTTGCACTCTGTATGCAAGTTTGCAATGTGACATTTCTCTACTTGGAGGGGAAGGAGGAGGCAGTCAACAACTACTTGCACAGTTCCCTACTATGCATTAATGTATAGTCAGTCACAGTTTATCTCTAAGATGAGACTTGTCATATCTGAGGTCTAAGGTTTTACATATCTGAAAAATAGGTATCTTCCTCACAAAATTTTGCAATAGACAACATCCAGCCTTTCAAAATAAATTATTACTTTCCTGTGCAAATGAAAATTGCATAGCAGCCTCAACCCTCCTGTGGTTTAACAGGTGGTGTATACAGCAACTCTTTTATAGGAACCAACTATAAATTTATG